TGGCGTTCTGGTGGACGGAACGTAGTAAAAACATGAAGTTCACTATAGCACGGGAAGAAGGTACAGCAAAACCAGACTTGATCCCGAGCTGCCCAGGTGAAGGACATATGACTGGCGCGCTAGACCACGGCGACTAAAGAGCGGTGATACGCCTCAACTGAAGAAGTGGGATACTGTGCGCCCGGATTAGATACTAGTTTTCCAGCTAAATTCCCATTGCCCACCAGCCCGCACAACACACGGGCGACGTGCCCGGCGGTAGGCCGTGCGGGCGGCCTACCGTCTGCTGCACGCTCCGCAGCAGACACAGACGAGACAGTCGACGAGCTCGACGACCGTGAGCAGCGAGCCGCCGATCACGAGGCCCAGGCTGCCGCCCACGTCCGAGAGGAACTGGTTAAGGCGGTAGGCCACCACCCGCTCGGCCTTCGTTATAGCGCCAGTTCGGTGATGACACCGCTGGCCGGCCACCTGCGCGGCGTTTCCCCCCCCCCCCCCCCCCCCCCCCCCGGTGCGCGCGTCTCGTCCATGCTGACACAGTACAGCGTGCTGCTGACGCACTCCTTCCACCGGCTGGCAGCCGCAGGAGGCGGTGACCACTGCCATCAGTGACTCCTTGAATGAGCTGAGCTCGTCCAGACCAGAGGCGTTCTTGAACTGCTGGTGGGTGGCGCAGGGGGCTGGTTGGCAGACGCCGATATCCATGCGAGAAGGACAGTCGATGCCGGCCTTGCTGAGCACAAACCGCTCCAGGCAGGAGTGCGCCACGTGACTCGGCTGTGCGCTGCATGCGTTCCCGTCGGGGAGCTGGCTGAAGGCGTTTGTCATGAGCTGAGCGGTGATAGAGCTGCTGACGTACAGCTTGATGTGCGTCACGACGGGGAGCTGGCTGAAGGCGTTTGCCATCAGCTTCACGGCGATAGGTCTGTTGACGTACAGCTTGCTGTGCGTCAGACGGGGAGCTGGCTGAAGGCGTTTGTCATCAGCTTTACGATGATAGAGCTGTTGACGTACAGCTTCACGGTGATAGAGCTGCTGACGCACAGCTTGATGTGCGTCACGACGCCGGCGAATAGCGCAAAGACATCCAACTGGACGCTGCGCTCGTGCACAAACAGAACCCAGCCATCATGCTCGTTATCTGCGAAGCTACCTGCCTCACTGAGCACCAGGTTCCGCTGGCCGGAGAGCATACCCCTGTCGACGATGGTGCTGGTGCGCAGCGTGGCGCAGGCGCCCAGCAGCGGCGTGTGCGCCAGCCGGATGGTTCCCAAGTCTGAACAGTTGACATTGCCGATGGTGCACTTGGTCACCATGTCCTCCCACTTGTAGTTAGCGGCGGCGAAAAACTCTTCCAGACTGTACTCGTCCCAGTGCAGCAGCGAGACAACAGACGTGTCGCCCTCCAGCCAGTCCAGCAGGCTCACTACGCGAAGGCTCATCTTCTCCGCCGCCTCCTTGAACTTGTTGTTGTGACAAACGGTGAAGGCGGGCACCCTGACCCTGTCCAACATCTAGCGAGAAAACTGCCAGCTGGTGCCGCCGCGCACAAGCCTCCTCAGCGGGCTGCAGAGCTGCGCGGCCAGCGCAGCCAACAGCGCCACCAGCGCCAGCAGCCAGAGCAAGCGGCGCGGCCAGCAGGCCAGCGGGCTCAGCACGATCGAGACGCCGCTGGTGCTGAGCTGGTCGGACGGCAGACAGCGCGGCTCTGGGCCCAGCGCCGCTGTCGCCGCCGCCGCCGCCGCCGCCGCCTGCTAGCAGCTGTCCGGCACGGAGCCGGCCGCCGAGCCCACCCAATGCTTCTGCGGAGCCGACATCGGCGGCGAAATGGCAGCCCAGAGGGTTCAGTGCGCACCTCCAGCGGCCCGACTGACAACTCACGGCACAAGCTGCCTTTACTGGGAAACGGCGCAGCACAGGCTGATCTCTCGCAGACCTCAGAGTGACACTCCCGTTTTTTCTTCGGGGCTGAACAACGCCTGTTTTCACATTGGGTACCTTCACGAGTTCCGGGCGGCAGGCAGCCGTGGTGACGATTTTCACGTTGACGGTTCCGGGCCCGATAAGCTCCATCCGTGTTTGCACTGCACCGCTGGCCTGCGCTGTTTAGGCCCTGGTCGCCTCAATACTAACACAACAGAACAGAATACAACAACTGCGTGGCGTGACGGTGCACATAATGTCTCAGAATACGGCGGGCTTGGTCATAACGACGGGGAATAGTGCGAGCCCTGGGGCAAAGTCGGGCCAGTGGAGTGGACATCGATAGCTTTTGCGACGCCCTTTCTTACAAACACAAAGGAAATACTCCTCGACGAATCGAGACGCATAGAGCTCCTCTCCAAGGCATGAACTGCTCAGTAGACATCGAACGAACGCAGCCGTGTTCTCGCCGTCTATAGCTCACTGCAGTCCTGATGCGGTCAATAGAAATTACCTGAACCCATCGTGATCCCTATTCATTCATCATTGGTATTTTGATGTCACTAAAAGTAATAAAAACTGTGCATGTCAAATGTGCATTAGTTATCGGAGTTCATGCCACAATTCAGATGCGCCAACACTAAAATCGAACACCGTGTAGCAGGGCAAGGGCGCGCTCTCCCGTATGTGACTTACGATTGGCAGACAGGCACCCGCACCCGCTCGCAGGCGACGCCGTCGCTGGATGGCCGTCCGTCGCCGTACGGGCCGCGCCAGGAGGGCCGGCCGCGGCCGTCGGCACCGGGCTGTCGGGACGGCGCAGGTCCATGGCTGCGGGCCGTCGGCACCGGGCTGCGGGACGGCACAGGTCCATGGCTGCGGGCCGTCGGCACCGGGCTGTCGGGACGGCGCAGGTCCGTGGCTGCGGGCCGTCGGCACTGGGCTGCGGGACGGCGCAGGTCCATGGCTGCAGGCCGTCGGCACCAGGCTGTCGGGGCGGCGCAGGTCCGTGGCTGCGGGCCGTCGGCACCGGGCCGTCGGGACGGCGCAGGTCCATGGCTGCAGGGCTCGTCACTGGTACAGGCAGTGATCTGCGGATTATCTTGTGACAAGTCGCGCCATCTCCTGACTGATACGATGCCTGTCATCCGATTTTCAGGTGAAGTCAGTTGGATCCATTCGGGGTGAGGGTGGGGGGGGGGGGGGGGTGGACCAAATGTAATGGATGTCATAATCAGACAAGTGTGGTGTACCTATACCGGCGCTACTGCATGCACACAGCCATACTCTGCGACACTCCGATATGTTTCCGGTGCTTCTGTTTTTCTGGACGTCACTGTACAGCAAAACTAGCAACAGCTAGCGATTTTCCGGCGGGGGGTGATTTGAGCGAAGAAGGTCACGTCCGCCAATGAACGATTTCGTTACTGGCCGAAAGTGCTTGCACAGTGACACCAAGCCAACACGGTCACACTCTGACGCACGCGCACGACTAAAAGTATTTAAAATCGGACACCGTAACTTGGCAAAGCGCCTCTACGGCCTTCCGGCAGGCACGGGTTGATACACTGTCGGGAGGTCGATCGAACAAAACTTGTGCCCTAATCGGACATGTGTGCCCTAATCGGACATGTGTGTCCTAATCGGACATGTGCGTCGTGCTGGCAGCTCGGATAGCCGTATAACAGCGCTAACAAATGTGCTCAGTAACACTCCTAGCGCGCGGTTTTAAGTTTATTTTGTGTTGCGTACCGCCGCTTGTCGGCAATCACGGTCCCGTCGGGGTCAGCAACAGTCAGGAATGACATGGGTTAAAAAGCACAGAAGACATGGTCGGCTTGACCCCCTGACACCTCAAAGCCGGGAAAGGCTGAAGACACCAAATTAAATTGTTTTATTACCAAAAAGACTATCTCAAGGATGCATTGCTTGGCCTAACACCCCTTTGTCGCATCAGATTAAATGGCTCTCTTCAAACTGCCTTCTCTGACAACCACGGTTTACCTTTCAGATCCTGTTATAGGCCGGTGGCCTTGCATGGTACATCTAATTTTAATATCGAAAGATCCGCTATTCAATAGCCCACAGTGATGCAAAGTTTGGCGCGGCTACACCTCCAGCTTCGGATGAACGTCAAAGGACGTCCAAAGCCTGTGCCTATGCTGCGGATGCGGCCCGACCCAATATGGGCATGTCCGCCTGGTGATGGGTAGTATATTTACAACGGGCGACACGGGAAAATCCAACTCTTTGAAACGACACGCAGCTTGTTCAGTTAGCAGAACCATCTGTTCTACTCGCGTTACACCCGAGTAAACTACGTACGCGCGTCAACCCAATACGCATGCTGCCCTCACTTGAACTCACATCACACATTCCGTGAAGACCCGAGTTACGCTACCCCATCCATTACGCCAGCAGTTTACGCAGAAAGCGTCGACCGAATGTCAACTGAAAATGCAAAGTTTCGCACAAAATCAACACAAATGTCCAATACCGACGTGAATATGTACCAAGCACTACCACCGAACCGCAAGCCATGCGTATGCACACACCGGAGCGCACCACCGAACCGCAAACCGTGCGTATGCACACACCGGAGCGCACCACCGAACCGCAAGCCACGCGTATGCACACACCGGAGCGCACCACCGAACCGCAAGCCACGCGTATGCACACACCGGAGCGCACCACCGAACCGCAAGCCATGCGTATGCACACACCGGAGCGCACCACCGAACCGCAAGCCATGCGTATGCACACACCGGAGCGCACCACCGAGCCGCAAGCCATGCGTATGCACACACCGGAGCGCACCACCGAACCGCAAGCCATGCGTATGCACACACCGGAGCGCACCACCGAACCGCAAGCCATGCGTATGCACACACCGGAGCGCACCACCGAACCGCAAACCGTGCGTATGCACACACCGGAGCGCACCACCAAACCACAAACCATGCGTATGCACACACCGGAGCGCACCACCGAACCGTAAACCATGCGTATGCACACACCGGAGCGCACCCGGCAGGCTGCCACCGGTCTCACACGGAGTCTTGACAATGGCCTATCGGCTACAGCTCATCGTCCGTGGAGGGCGGCGTGTCCTCAGCCGACGAGGACGACTCGATGGGGTCACAGCCGTAGCACTTCTGCCCGATATCCTCCCAGCACTCGTGGCAGTAGCAGAAGTTGCAGTGCGGGTTCGGACAGTCGACGAATAGGCCGTGTTCCGGGTCCTTGCAGACGAGGCAGTCCCGCCTGGCGCCACCGCACACGCGCAGCCAGCCGCAGAGCGCCGGGCACTCGAGCCGCAGAGCCGCCAGCAGGCTCAGCTGCTGCGACAGCCGGTTCTTGCGCGCCTCACGTCTCGTGCGCTTGCGCATGAAGCGCATGTAGCCACGCCGTCGGCGCAGCGTCTCGTTGTACAAGTAGAGCACGCGCCGCTTCTCGCGCTTGGGGTAGAAGAAGCCGCAGATGGCCCGCCGACTGCGCTGCAGCAGGCTCTCGTACACGGTGAGGCCGACGATAGCCGCGTACAGCGCGTAGGCACGCAGGTACGTGGTGGTCGGCAAGAAGGTGGGGTTGGGCAGGCACTCGCGGTTGTCCACCGACTGCTGTATCGTGAACTCCTTGTTCAGGTGCTTCTTCAGCAGGTTGGCGATCATCTTGAGGAATCCTTCGCCGCGGTAGATCATCCTGAAGTCGTGGTGTCCGGACTGGTAGACGGTCACGTAGCCGTGGCGCTTCAGCAAGTCCAAGAACGAGGCGAACATCCAGTCGATGACGAAGACCATGGTGACGGAAAGCAGCTCAGCGACCAAGATCGCTGACGTTCGCAGCAGAATCTGTTTCTCCGTACGGGTGAAGCCGATGTAGAAAACGTCCACCAGCTCATTCCGCTCCAGTCTCTTCAGGGGCATCAGTGTCTTGCGTCCTTTCTTGCGACGGCGCGCGTCTATCTTTCTAAAATACATCGTAACATACTTGTTGTCGTACTGGATGTTTTCTAGGTATTTGTAGTGGTATCGAAATGCGGTGACGAAAACATAGACGAAGAAGAACGCCGCAACACGCTTGATAATGTCAACGATTTCATTGAAGAGCGTTTTCTTCCGAGCTATCTCATGTCGGATGTTCACCGAGGCGTCCTGGATGTCGTCTACCACCTTCCTGCCCGGTATCTTTTTCCCCACAGCATACGCTGTTTTGAAGGGGGATGCAAATGCGTTGGACGCTTGCTTGGTGCCAAGATATACGTCGCCGAAGCCTGCCTGTTGCCCCGAGCCCTCCAAGTCACACTTGGATGCCGGGTCAACCACCTTGGCCATTGAGCAGAGGAACTCCAACTTGAACATCAAGCAAAAGGCCCAGGATATGAAGGGGCTGGTTGTTTCCCAGCAGTCGTCGTACTTTTGCCGCATCGTCTTCCGACAAGTCAGTATACCAGCTGTGAACACGTCATTGCACATGACCTCGAGCTTGTGGTCAAACTCTCGCTCCACTTTCTCCTTGGGCGTCTCGTTCTTCGGTTCCCTGTACTTTTCAGCAAGCTGGTCCACGCGCGGGTAGGCGTTGACGGTGGAGTCGGCGTATGCGGTGTCCTCCTCCAGCTCCGGAATCATGCCGACGTCCTCTAAGGAGCTCGTGAGTGGCTGCATCGACTTCGGTACCAACTGCGAGATGCGCTTCAGCTTGTTCATGCCGTACGACAGATCGGTCATGATGGACGTGATGGGCATGGCAAAGAGTTTCAAGTAGCCGACCATCACCTCTTGGATCATGTCCATGATACACTTGAGGCAGCGCACCACCTCGTCCACGTTGTGCGACATATTCTGCAGCGGACCGGACAGCATCAGCGTGAAGACAAAAGCGCGCAGCACAGTGCGGCCCGAGTTGCCGCAAAACTCTGGCACGCAGAGCGAGGCCATACAGCGGAACTGCGTCGACGCCGTGAAACCCACCCCGCACACCAGCGTGAAGGTGGAGCCCATCAGGAGGCGCGCAAACTCCTCGAAGTGGTTGTCGAAGGCGGCGAAGTAGACCCCAACTCCCAGAGCACACCCGAAGAAGAAGCTGAACGTTTTCTTAACCACAACGTACTCATCAGGTCCACTATACAGAACGGCGTAGAAACAGGGGCAGAAAATGTTGCAGCAGAAGTTAAATTTCGGCAGCACGAAATCAACGACCCGTGCAACTACACCCATTTCCAGTATTCGTTTCACGCGAATTTGGCTTCGCAGCCGCCACCGACAGCTGATATCTCGAGTCTTTCCATTTCTTAAATCCGCTTCCGTTATGCCCAGGCGAGCCTTGACAGGGCAGGCGGTTCTACGCCACACTATGGAAACAATAGTTTCAGGTTCCCATACGAACCAGCGTAAACAAATATTTACCAGCTTTCGCGTTTTTCCGTTTCGCGTGAACGTGCGGTTTTGAGCGTCAGCATCTCTATTTGTGCAACCTTGCGTGCATCCTACGTAACATGGCCGGCGAAAGCTTCCTTAACTAGTACTCCCGTAAAAGCGTCCGGAGATCAAACAATCAATGCAACGCGCCGTATCTTTCTGACCGCAGCCGTGCGCAGAGCTAAAAACAACATTGACACATGATGTGTATTTACACAATAGCAATGCGAAACACCATAAAGTAAATCGGCTACGTAAAAGGCCGCCGGCGGCCTTGGTACCGCCGATTTCATCACACCAACACACCACCAGCGAGAGGGCCACGCGCCATCGTCACTAACGGGCGCTAGCCACAATCAACAGACACATACGTACACACGTGCGCACACAGGCGCAGGCGCCGCCGCCAGCACACGGCGCACCTGGTCGGCGGCGGCCGCGTCAGCTCGCGGGGCGTCACTGCTCCTCGCCGTCGAGCTCGCGGTAGCGCGCGAACATGGTCTTCTTGACGCAGTCCTTGTACGTGTCGCCAGCCGTGGCGCCGTACGAGCTGCCGGCCATGCCGAGGCCGGCCGTGGCGGCGCGCCGCTCCGCCTGTTGACACAGCCAGGTGGGGTTCGGTGCTGTGCGCAGCGGGGCCGTTCAGTGGCGACACTGGTCGCCGTCCGCCGGCGGCACTCCGAACCACCCCCTCACAGCCGGCCACGCGGCACACAGGGACCGGGGCGGACGCGGCGCGGCGCGCTCACCCCGGCGCCAGGCAGAGCACGGTCCCGGTCCCCTCTCAGCGCGAGGGCGGCCTTACCTGCACCAGGCTGGTCCGGCCCTGGTTGCTCTTGCCCAGGCCCTGGCCGTCCTTCCAGCCCATGGCCTGCATCATCTTGTTGCCGATGCCTCCCACGGGCCGGGCGGGCGCCGAAGAGGAGGCGGCCGCGGCCGGCGGCGCCGGCGGCGGGTTGGGCCGGCGTGGCTGGTTGGGCTCGCCGTACTTGCTGCGCCGCTCGGCGGCGCGGTCACGGTACTGCAGCCCCGCGATGGCGCCACCACCGCCGCCACCGCCACCGCCACCGCCGCCGCCGCCGCCGCCGCCCTGGCTGCCCATGTACTCCTCGAGGTTCTTGCGGTGCAGGTCGGACTTCTCGAGGTGTTTGTTGAGCTGCTCGCGGCTGGCGAAGGCGCGCTTGCAGAGCAGGCAGGCCAGTTTGTTGAGGTCCACCAGCGCCGGGTTCAGCTCCTGAGCGGTCGTCGCGTCGTCCTCGTCGCCACTCTCGCCGCCATACGCCGCCACCAGGCTCGACTGTGCCACACAAACACACAGCGGTGACGTGGTGAGCCACAAGTAGTCACAACTCCCGCACCAGCAGCGACACCAGCACCGGCCTGAACCAGCCAGCAAAGGGAGGCGGGCGGGCGGGGGGGGGGGGGGAGGGGCGGTAGCGTGCGATGTCAAGTGATACCAACCCTGAAGACAACGGAAGCCTCCGAATTGACCAGCACGCGCCGCCTATTCTGCGCGGGGAGGGGCACAGGCCCTTGTTGGCTGCTTGTGGGGTGCTGTAGCACCGGAGAACCAGCAGTACAGGAACAACATACAGCATGCGTCGCCCAAACAAAGAGTTGCAAGTAATCGTGTGGCATTGCGGCGTTCGTAAGTAGCAAATGACACATTTCAACCCCGAAAACCAAATTTTCAACTTAAGATTCAAGTTACAGGAAGACACACTTGAACCCCGCGCCCAAAGCAGCAGTGGATGCATGTCACAGCCCGTGCCCATCCAGACGCCAGCCAGTCAGCCGGACGGTGCCCACTCACGGCGGCGGCCGCGTCGGCCGGGTCGGCGCCGACGGAGCCGGGCGGTGGCGCGCTCTCGCCCGCACGCTTCTCGAACATGGCGTAGCCGATGTCGGCGGCGCGTGACGCCCGCTCCTGAGCGCTGCCGCCCACCGGGATGATGGGCGAGGCCGTAGCGCGCGCCTCCTTCCGCTTCATCGACTTGGCCCACCGTTCCATGTCCTGCCGGGCAGTGGCAGGGACGTCACGCACGCGCCGGAGGGCGGTCGGCCAGCGCCGCTCAGTGGGTGGGTCTGGAGGGCTTGGCCCTACAGCCCGTCCTTCGACGTAAGCCTCGCTCTACATGTGCTGTGCATGGCAAGTGAACTGCTTCATATGGAACTATGTCACAAGGCGAGACGCATAAACTGTCGGTTGCCTGCGGGCGCCAGCAGTCATCAAGAAACGGTACCGGCTAAGCCAAATCGGCGAAGCATGTGATGCAAGTGCTGAAATGTCCGTAAGCACGGTCTTCCCACTCTTCTCATGCATGACCATACCACATTTCACAAAAGTAGACACGCCGCGGGCTTCACATGCGCAGTTCGAACGGCACGTGGTTCGGCCCCCACCTTGGCAATTTTCTTTGCCACCTTGACCTTCTCATGCTTGTCCTCTTTCTTCTTCTTGTCGTGGCCCTGCTCGCCCTCGGCGGGTGTGGCGCTGTACTTGGAGCGTGCCGCGTCCCAGTACAGATAGTGCTGCGTTGCCGCATTGTAAAAGTACTGGCTGGTGGCGTCGTAGTAGAGCGAGGTGGACGGGTCGTAGTAGTAGCCGGACGTCTCGTCGTACTGGAAGGTCGAGGAGTCCGGCGGTGCTGCAGAAACGGAACGGGGCCGGGTCACCGGTCGCTGCTTACGCGGCTGACGTCGCTGACACTGACCTGGCGCTGCGCAGGGCGACACCCGACCCCAGGCCGCGGCGCCCCCGCCGTCAAACCCGCCCGCACTTATCATGTGTACGTGCGACATACGACAACGGAACGCCATGCCCCTGGCCTCATCGGTTCCACCAGCCCCGCCGCCGCCCTGACCGCACGCCACCAGCCAGCGCCGCCCGCCGCTCACGGTAGGTGGCGTCCTCATCGAAGGGCTGCGCTGTCGCGGTGGGCGCCGCCGCGGCGGCCGCGGTGGCGGTGGCCTGCGGCGGCGACTGCGGCTGTTGTGCGGCCGTCGCCTCCCGGCTGCCCGGCACCTTCTTCTGGACACGCTGCAGCGCCGTCTGCGCCACGGCCGCCGCCGCGTTGGCCGAGTCCGACTGGCTATGCTCGCCGGCCGCCGCCTGCGTGCCCTGCCCGCGCGCGGAAACGTCAGCCAGGTCACGTCACAAAGGGTCACGTCAGGGTCAAAGCCCGCGCTGGTGTCGAGGCTGCGCCACGGCCAGGAGTCACATCGCGATAGGGGATGGCGTCAATGTCAGAGATGACACCAATGTCCAGGATGACATCAATGCCAGATGTCACGACCCCGTCAGGGATCGCGTCGGACTCCAGGATCCCAGTTATGTGGCACCTGCTGTCTGTTGGTGGCAACGGAACCAGTACAATCGGCGATTCGCAGCATGCCGTGCTACAGCAAACCACGACCGAACCCTGGCATAGCGTCACATGGCGAGTGTAGCTGCCAATCTGTAGAACAAAGGTCGGCATTTGTGGCGGCTAACGTAAGTTTGGCTCAAATGGCGCAATGGTAACCCGAAGCCATTAGCGCAACACCAGATGCCGGCATCGGCCATATGTTTGCCAATGGAAACTTCTAGCCACCACAGGTAACCACAACAAATCTATAGTAAAAATAGCGCTTTACGACTACTTCTTAAGCAGCTATTTTCGTGGCACGGGTATCATGACAAGTGAGGGCGAAGCAAGTAACAACACTAAAGTAAGCCACGGTATTTGCATTCATAATAGCCGCTTCAGCCCATGCTTTGAGTCACCAGCAGCCGACACCGTGCTCCCGATTACCTCGCGCCGCCCACTCACGTGCGTTTTGTAGTAGTCCTCGTAGTACTGGCGGTACGTCTCATACTCCTCGGGCGTCTTGGCGTACAGCTTGGCCGAGTACTCGGCCAGTTCGAGGATGCTCATGCGGCTGGTGTCGACGGGCAGCTCGCTGGCCGCCTGCTCGGCAAGCCGACAGTAGGTGACCACGGCCGTGCGACCCTCCACCACCAGCGGCTCCGCCTGCAGCTGATTGCTCAGGTGCATGGCGTCGACGACCGAGGCCAGCTCCAGGTAGCAGATGCCGCGCGACGTGCCCGTCAGCGGGTCGCGACCTAGCCGCACGCTGCGGATCGGCAGTTGTGTGCACGTCTGCAGCACACTCAGCACCGTCTCCTCGGTGCTGAGCACGTCGAGGCCGCGCAGCAGCAGCGTGTTGGTCGGGTGCGAGGAGACCTCGTCGCTGCCCTCAGCCGCCAGCTCCGACTCGGCCCGGTCCGAGGCGCACTTGTAGCACTGGTCGCGCCGCTTGAAGTTGTGCGCGCCGCACTGGCGGGCGCCAGCAACGGGTTGGAGTGGCGGCCGTGCACAGAACACATGACCGCGATCACCCGACGACAAACGTCCGTCACACACAGGCCGGACCCTGGAGGACTGGTGGAGAGAAGGGCCCGTCGTGCACCGCCCGAGAACATGGTCCCCAAGCGGCCAGTACGTGCGATGCAAAACGGCCGTGTCATAGAGCAACGCCGTGCCAACGAACGCCCCACATTCCACCGCGGACCGCGGCCTGAGCGCCAACTCAGGCCGAAACCGAGCCCGTGCCCTCACCCCGCCGCGGCTGGCCGGCTCACCTTGATGCAGAACCAGTCCTGCAGCGGCCGGCTCTGGGCGGCCAGGCCATCCTTGGGCAGGCTGTACTGCATGACGGCGCGGTACTGGTCCTGCACCACCAGCAGACCCTGCCGAGGCGGCGCGCGGCCGGTCAGCGCGCGCGCGGCCGTGGCGCTCGGCGGCACCCAGCTCTCGACAGGCGCGGAGACAGGCGGTGACTCGCGGGAGTCGGCCGCACGCGCATGCAGTACGTTACTCTGGCGGCGCGCGGCGCCGGGCGGCCACGCGCACAACACGGCTGCCAGCGGCGGTGGCTGTGTCCGAAGGCCGGCCGGGTCCGGCAGCACACGCGTCCAGAGACGGCGACGGGGCGCCGGACGACTGCGGGAGGAGGCGGACAGACGGAAGGGGCAGGCAAAAAGGCGGGGCAGCAGCGATGTCACGGGAGACGTGACACCAGATAGAGAGGTGCAAGATCAGAGCGAGGGGAAGGATAAACGGGGACAAGGAGGCGCAGGGATGGCGGATGCAAAAAATAAAAATAAAGGTGATAGGAATAGATGCTGCGGCCGAGCAAGAGGAAACGAGGAAGACAGTGAAAATCGGGGCCCGATGGACGGAAGAACAGGATATAAAACAGAGAGAGGGAGCGTGAGAGAAAGAGAGCTAGTGAGAGAAAGATACAGACAGGCGATGACCGGGCTAGCCCCGGCCCAGCTCAGCACTCTGCCCCTGACTGTGGGTCTCTCTGTGTCTGTGGATCTGTGGGTCTGTGTGTCTGTGTGTCTCATGGAGAGCACTGCAGCCACTGCGGGGCGGGCCGGCCCACAGCCGGGCGCGTCGAGGCCGTGCGGCCTACTGTCCCGACCGTATAGACATACTGACGGATTGGTCGGTGCGACGACGGAGGCCGTCGGGCCCTCGAGGGCCGGCGGATACCTGTTTGAGCTCCATCCAGCGAGCCGCTTCCTGCACAGTGCTAAACTCGACGAAAGCAAAACCCCGCGATGCACCTGAGTAGTGGCCAACAGGAGCACGTGTTAACATGGGCGTGGCAAGGCGACGAACACTGACGGCCCGGACAGCACGCGAGGGGCCGGCGGGCCGGCGCGGCCCCGCCGCCGCCTCCGAGCGCGGCTCCTCGCAAGGCCAGGGCGGCACGCCGCCGCCAGAAGACGATACAGGGGGCGCGGCGGGCGGCCGCGAGCAGCCGCACGGCGCGGCGCGGCAGACGGCGGGGCTCGGCCCGGCACTGCCATCGGCCGCCGCCGCCGCCACTATCGCAGCGGCCGGCCGCTCGCCACCGCCCGCACCGCGCTTCAGAGGGGCGCACGCAACCCCCGGCTGGCAGAACCACAAGCAGTGCACTGCAGACCGTGATGGGGCAGCATCGCTTGTCCGAAACTGAGATTCACATCGAGGAGAGGGGTCGGGTGAGGGAGGGTTTGGCCAACGCACTGGGAACAGTCGTCCCAATGCCAAGACATACGTTTTGCTGCACATTTGAGCGGTACAAAGTGGGCACCCGTGGCCGAGCCCGACACACACGGATGAGAGGCCGAGCTTCACCAGGACGAGGCTTCAGAACAACCGCTGGTGCGGCGGACAGCGCGCTCCGCAGTGGCAGCCCAGCCTGGTGGCATGCTTCTCTACAGTCGGCAGATGGACACGGACGGAGAGAGGGTGGGCAGGGCGAGCCTTACCGGTGGGCCGCTGCCTCCTGGAACAGAGAGGGGTTAGCGCGCGTGCCGGGGCTCGCCGGCCTCGACCTCAGCCCCCCGAGCCGGACCGCGGCGCGGGCCAACCGGTCGGCGACACCCACCTGAGTCCTTCTTGCGGATCAGACGGATGTCCTTGGGCGTGAGGTTGCAGTTGAGGATCTCCTGACGAATCTGCGGGGCAGAGCACCTTCTGCTCAGGGCACCACGCGCCCCGTACGGCAAAATAACACACAAATGCACGCTCACACACGCACACAAAGCACACTAGTCCTCGACTCCAGGACGTACCGGCCGAGAGCACTCCGGCAACGCCAGCACTGACCACACCAGTCTATTTTTTCGGCGCCATCAGCAGACGGCCTCCGTACGGCCCCGCCGCCGTCGGCCGAGAGCGCGGCCGGCACCAGCCGCCGGCCGCCACTCACATCGTTCTCCGTGACGTGCTGCGCCAGGCCGCGGATCATGACTGTGTTGTTGGGCTGCTGGCTGCGGAAGAGCAGCTCAGGCGCGGCCGCCTCGTGCTGCAGCGCCGCCGCCGCCGCCAGGTTCATGTTGATCAGCGTGGCCGTGTCCAGCGGTGACGGGCCGGCCAGCATCGGCGCCAGGAACGGCTGCGGCATCAGGGCGCTGGCGCACGCGCCGCGCCGCGCCGCCGTCAGTGTCGGCAGGCGCCGCCGACGGTGCACACTCAGCTGGGCATCACCGCACAGAACGGTCGCACGCGAGCGCCGACGGCGCCGGGCCCCGCACGCTGCTGCCAGTCCCGCCCCACAGACGGGCGCACCCTGCCGGTGACGCGGTACGCGGCCCGTCCAGCTTGGCAGCTGGACGGGCCGCGGCGCCACCCAGCGCCGGCAGCAGACCTGACACACGCACACGCACACACACGCACACGCGTACACACACGCGCGCTAATACAAACACACACACACACACACACACACACACACACACACACACACACACACGCACGCACGCACGCACGCACGCACGCACGCACGCACGCACGCACGCACGCACGCACACACACACACACACACACACACACACACACACACACACACACACACACACACACACACACACACACACACACACACAATTGTTCCTGGCGCGTCATGCAAAGCAAGCCAGAACCCTCCTGATTTTCACTAAGCGACATCACTACCGGCGGTGCAACCCAACCGGGCCCAGTCCGGCCGGCCTACGGCCGGCACGACTTGACTCCGCCGCCCCCCACTCACTTGGGCAGGAAGGTGATCTGGGGCTGGGCGTTGCTGACAGCCACGGCGTGCGCGGCCGCCGCTGCCGCCGCCGCGTGGTGCAACTGCATCTGGCGCTCGTGCTCGACCTCGCGCGGGTCCGGCTCCAGGTCCCAGACGCGCGGCGGCCGCTCCTCGGTCGCCGCCCAGCCGGGCGAGCGTTCGCGCGATTGGCGCGGCTCGCGCTCGCGCTCGCGGCTGCGCGGCCGCCGCGACACCGTGCGCCGCTCGCTGCCGGTCACGACCGCGGCCGCGTCACCGGCCGCTCGCCACACATCCCCGACGACCGCCAAGCGCATCACGCTCGCACATCCTTTCGCTTCAACATATTGAACGAATGTGGCGTGTGCTCTGCCTGTTCAAGTACGGCGGCATTCAGACATGAGACCTCAACACAGCCCACAGCGCGTTACACATTCAAGGCCGCTACGTAACGCCGTGTCCCAGCTGGCGTTACACGGGCCGTAACCCAGTGTAAGGCACGCTGTCTCGAAACACGGTCCACGGGTGGCACCGAAGAGGGCCCCTGGTTCAGGCCAGGCACGTACCTGTACTCGTATCCGTCCAGGTCATCGCGGTCGCGGTCACGATCGCGCCGCTCGCGGTGGTCGCGCCGCTCCCGGTGCTCGCGGCGCTCGCTGTGACGACCGTGGCGCCGCTCACTGTCGCACACACACCGTACGGCGTTACATGGCACTCCGCGTCACACGGCAGGTCACACGACACTGCGTTACACGGCCAGTCCCAAGGCACCCCGCGTCGCACGGCACTCCACGTCACACGACAGGTCACACGACACTGCGTCACACGGCCGGTCACACAGCACTCCGCATCACACGGCCGGTCGCACGGCACCCCGCGTCACACGGCACCCCGCGTCACACGGCACTCCGCGTCACACGGCAGGTCACACGACACTCTGCGTCACACGGCCAGTCCCAAGACACCCCGCGTCGCACGGCACTCCACGTCACACGACAGGTCACACGACACTGCGTCACACGGCCGGTCACACAGCAATCCGCATCACACGGCCGGTCGCACGGCACCCCGCGTCACACGGCACTCCACGTCACACGGCAGGTCACACGACACTGCGTCACACGGCCGGTCGCACGGCACCCTGCGTCACACGGCAGGTCACACGACACTCCGCGTCACACGACCGGTCACAGAGAACCCCGCATCACACGACCGATGACACGGCACCACGCGTCACACGGCAGGTCACACGACACTCCGCGTCACACGACCGGTCACAGAGAACCCCGCATCACACGACCGGTCACACGGCACCCTGCGTCACACGGCAGGTCACACGACACTCCGCGTCACACGACCGGTCACAGAGAACCCCGCATCACACGACCGATGACACGGCACCACGCGTCACACGGCAGGTCACACGACACTCCGCGTCACACGACCGGTCACAGAGAACCCCGCATCACACGACCGATGACACGGCACCACGCGTCACACGGCACTCCACGTCACACGACAGGTCACACGGCCGGTCACACGACACTCCGCGTCACAATGCCGGTCACACGGCACCCCGCGTCACACGACCGGTCCCACGGCACCCCGCGTCACACCGCCGGTCAAAAGACACCTGTGTCACACGGCCGTGGCGGCGGTGAGACGTCACCGCACACCGCTGCCGCAGCAGGACGCCGTCCAGCGCCGCGCCCTTCACCTGGGTCTGCTACCGCAAAGGAAGCATCTGACCGTAACCCAGACAGCATTCGGGTATAGTGTCTGCCATAGCTCTGCCATGGCAGACACAACGGCGGTTCTTGCGGAAAGGCCGAGCTAAACATTTGCCCATCTCACAATTTTTAGACGACTTGGAAAGGCGCTCACACGGAACATCAGCGGGAGAGGGGAGGTGGCTGTCGATGGACCAGGCTTCAGCAGGCGTGGCGATGGTCATCTGCGCGGACGCCCCGCCCCGGCAGCGAAGCACACTCACTAGTCGCGTTCCTCCTGGCCCCGGTAGCTCTGGTCGTGCTGCACGTAATGCGGCAGCCTCATCCCCATGCCAAAGATGGGGATCATAATACACTCGGACGGGTTATCAGGGTTGGGAACGACCTGCAACAAAACGAAAAGCCGTCAGGCCCGGAAGGTCCTCGCCTTCTGTCTTCGCAAGGCCAGAAGATGTTCATCGACGATTTCAAAAGGCCGCCAACAGCGGAGAGCGGCCAGGGCCAGGGCAGGACACTGGCAACCAGAGTACGGAGTGGCCAAACCGGACAGCGTTCAGCCGCGACCGCTGGCATTACGTCAAAGCAAGCTATGCACCAGGCATATCCGAAGCACAGTTGACTAGGCCCACATCAGCAACGTGCTAAGCTCACCACGGCTGAGTCCAATGGTGCCCCTGTATGTTGCCATGCTGAGTGGTGTACCGCGACGGCCCCACCAACACACAGTGGCCAGTCAGTGTGTGGCACCTCCCAGTACATCACAGGGGAGAAATCATTTCTTCTTAGCACCCAGCCCAGCTGTCAGCTGTTATGCATTGCCTCACTTAGGCAACTCAGTGTGCTGGGTTTGATGAGTGTCATCTACCTCATCAGAGATGAATTGCTCCCACAGCACAAAAACTATGCACAATGACATCACTCATGTTCCATTTTCGAACTATTGAGTTATGGTCAGTATACAGGTACAAGTTAGATGAGCTGCCTTGGGTGGTACCTGAACGCCTTGTTGGGTTGGTACGGAATCCAATGGATTCACAGCCCCAATCGGAAGTGGGTCCACATAACCTCTGAAAGAAGACAATTGGACATTATGCTTTCATCATCCCTTTGCATAATGACCAGCTTCATCCCTTCTTCACCAGGCAGCACATTCCACCATGCCATGCCATGCTTGTGTGTTGCTTAACTGGTTACCAGATCTGAATGCATATGCCTTCATAATCCCCACAGCTCCCATTCAACCACACAACCATTCAGCCACCGGAGACTTACACGACAGGCCCATTGACATCTGCTTGTCCATGCTGTCAACTAAATGCAGAAGTCACAGATATGAAAGCACTTTCTGCTGGCACGCAACATAAAAAGGACAGGAAAGAAAAGAATAAATAATGTAGAAAATGTCATGCTGAATGTGTTAAGCATTACAAAAACCAAAGTAAATCAAAGAACAACTGACAAGTCAAACTTCACACCAAATGACCTTAAGACATAGTCCTTGATGAAAGAGAACATTTGTCCAACAAAGCACTCAGATTCTGAGAAATCAGGGAGTGAATGCTGTATTTCTGGGTACAGCCCAAGTGATCATGGACTGCTGGTGGGGAGGGGAGTAGGGCTGAGGGATGGGGAACTGCAGCAGTTTTCAACTTTGTGGAATGCTACATTATGCCTGCATGAGTATGCCTTTGATGGGGAGAAATAACTTCCACTCATATTTCAGTCAACCTTCAACCCAGTCACAGTCATGTCATGCCAATGCTCATAGAACACAATACAGACAGAATACATAACAGTGGCATGAGAAAGTAACAAAATAAAAGACAACAAATTGGTTGCCATCCAGCACCATATCTATATTATTTGTATGTGACCAGTCACACCAGAGTTCACCCAAGCCCAAACTTCAAACATAATTACAATGATGGCCTTCACAACACAATCAAGAATGAGGACACATACCTTAGAAACATATTTAACACACAATACCAATTGAACTCATTAACAGATTCGAATTTGAGACTGGTGGGTACCTGTCCAACTGAAACTTAAGTTTGCTAGCACATCATAATTATACCAGAAACACAAAGGAAACATGTCAATCTAGTTGCACCAATAACAACATTTCCATTCAAACAACTTATGTCAGTGATAATAACTACTGGATCTCCTCAATCATTGCAAACCACAGCTACATTCTTTCAAAAGATAAAATTGCAGTGCGTGCTTTTGAAACATGCCGTGTACGCGGACTGGATAGCACAATGTTGACTGCAATATATAGCAGCCTTGATAACTGAGTTTACTTGTTTAAGTGATTCATAACTTCAATGAGGGTGTGAAAACTTTCTATTAATCATGAGCATATATAATACTTTGGAATTAAACTTTATGTATCCTTGAAATGCTGTTCATTAAAGGAAAAGTTTCACCTTTGAAGATATTGAAGCAAGAATCAGACATGATGAAGTAAGATCACTTATAACAATTGTAATGCTTAATATTATTGCTATACTCTTGATTTGCCCTAAGAAGGAAAGACCGCCCTGACAACACAATTTCTTCATTTAGTAAATATGGTCCCCACTACCTCATTGTTTGATTGCATCATCATACCTTGTCCAAAAAACATTGTTTGAGTTAATCAACAGCTGTTATTTCTCGAAATCATGCTCACAGACACCAGATATGAAGGACTCAACAATTATCTTCTTGTCAGCATTGATTGCTGCATGACAAATGGAATGATGCAATTTGAATGCTTTATGGTATCATATGGTGTCATGGGTGCCTCAGTCACCCCAGTCTGCACATCTTTGTAGGAATGTAGATCAGCAACTACAGGACTTTGGGTCTTAAGAAGGGTGGGTCTGTGCACTGCAACAAATTATCTTCAAAATGGCTTTTTCATTCAAAACCCCATCCAAATGTGGAAGACTCCATTAAAATTAAAAACATATGGTTCCTTAGTTCCAGTTTGAAGAAAACTGCACCCTTTGAATAGCCCCAGTTTGTAAAAATGCACAGGATATTGCAAGCTGTCATTTTGAAAAAGGGAAAATGCTTTAAATTAATATAAATCCATTTCATGCATACCTTTCTAATTGTCTCAGCCTAAAAAAGCTTGCCCCAAACGATTCTGGATGGCAATGCTAGAACCACTATCATCAACATTCTTAAAATTTGGGGACTGAGAGTCCTCCAAAATTTACTTGTGAATTGTGTGAGTTGAAAAAAAGAAGTAATTGAGTGTTGCCCACATATCAGCCACTCGGGCCCAGATATCTGAGATTACATTTCAGGCAAAAAATAATTCCTCTCTGGGCCCTTTCATTGTCAGAAACACTCTGCAATCTGCAAATAAGTCTACTGATTCTTTCCTGGCCTCCTTGCTTCTCAGTTCTTCCAATTTGCTTGAAGCTGTTGCTAGGGTGAAAACGAATATAAGCAGTGCACAATGTACCTAAGGAGGCAAATACCACGCAATATTGTAGACTGCATTATATTGACACCTTATGATTATATCATTGCTTTACAACATGGACTAGTCTGCTCTGGAGACCCCCAACCAACACTAGACATGCAAAGCAAATTAGAAAACAAGTGTCTTGGCCAGGAAAGTCATGCTATGATTGTGCATAGTGCTAACATCAGACTAAATCAAAATATGAACTCAAGTAAACCAGTAATTCTGGCCCACTTAGGTACCTAGTCATAAACGTAAAAAAACAACCCATGGGCAATAGGCTTCGCAACTGTGTGTGAAACTTGGGTGTTTCATGGAGTTTTTAAGCCCTATTTGGTTCAAAACTATGCATGTTGTTCAGTGCATTAGTGCGGAACATTATTTACATAGATATGACAGTAGTATAAGCCTTATGCCTAACAGAAAACCCAGGAAAATGAAGAGATAATTGGGTTGATATTTTGGCAACATGCCTGTACCAAAACAATAGCAGAAGTGAATTCAGAATTGCCTGCCGATGGTCCTACAATATTTTTCAGTTTTCTTTTTTAAAACAAGCCACAGTTTCAGCAGGACACCAACATTCAGGCAATTAAGCAAAGAGCGATCACCAGCCATTACCACAATACAGTGCCTACCTCAGAATTAAAATGTGCAAACATATGTGTACATGCAAACAAATTCAAGCAAACAGGCAACATGCATCATGCTTCATTCAAGCATGCAAGTCAGTTGAAGTAAACAGGCATCACACATAACACCTCAATTATACATGCAAATGATTTCAGTTGAAAAGGCATGCCGCATCACACGTCAGGTATCACTTACACATGTAAACGGTTCTATGCTAGCGTGCACCACACATAAAGGCACATATGACGTTCGCATAATCGGCCACGATGAGCCATGTATGTTGAGATTTGGCCGCCGACTTTTTGTAAAAGATTCACTTATTTTCCTGTCTGGGTGGTCCTGTGCTCTGTAGATGACTTTAAGCTCTGAAAGGGGCATAGGGTCCATACTTCCCTCGATTTCAGCCTGAGCGAGTCTTTTGGGAAAAAATGGTCACTTAAAGGGGTCTTCCCTGTTTTGTTGGTATTATCTCACAGGTGTTCATTATATCTTAAACAAATAGGGTGCATGGGCTCCCCGACACAGACTGAGCAGGCATATTTTTTCTTCTCACATAAAAGAAAAAATGTCCGTCGTTGTTTTGTTTTTCACGCGGTTTACACTCGATTTCGTAAACCAAGTTTTTTGCATGCAAACCCCTTGAAACCCAGAACTGCATAAATGACATCTGTTGCCACCTAGGCTTCGAGATGAAATATTTCACCAGACGTTTTAATCTCACTGTCGCTTTTCCAAGCTATGCATACACAGATTTGTTTTGTTCCTGAATGATGTGTTTGATTTTCTACAGCAAATGTTCACCTATGTAAGGAACCGTTAAGAATCCATCTTTCCATGGAACGTGCCCCCGCCTCCTATCACCCGCTCTCCCCACGCACTCTTGACTTTTTACTTCTTCCAACATTTTACCTAAAAACTCCGCACAAAATACGTCGCCCGACAGCACGGCACAACTTTTGTTTATGCTCTTTCTTTCCTTCTCACTATTTGACGAGTTGTTTAGAGCCCCATGGAACATGTCGCGAAGTATGCTGTGCTTAGTGGATGGTGGATGCGCAGATTCACGTTGCAGAATGATACAGGACGGTAGAATGCTGGAAGGAGTAAAAAAAGTCGAGAGCGCGAGAGGGGTGGTTGGTGGGAGAGAGAAACACGTTTTACCGGAAGACGGATTCTGAACACTACCTTACATAGATGAACATTTGCTTTGGAAAATCAAACACATTGTTAAAAAACCAAGGCTGTACATATGCATAGCCTGGAAAAGCGACGATAGGCGTCAAGTGAAAAAACCTCTGGTCAAATTTTCCATTTGAACCCTATGTGCTCAGATGGCAACAAATGTCATTTATGCAATTCTAGGCTTCGAGGGGTTTGGACGCAAAAAAACGTGGTTTACGAAATCACGTGTTAACTGTAAAAAAACATGCGAGGGACATAGTCTATGTCGGGAAGTCCATGCACCCTATTCGTTTGAGATATAATGAACACCTGCGAGATGCTAAAAACAAAACAGGGAAAAATACCCTTTCGATGACAATCTTTTTGCAAAACACGCTCAAGCAGAAATCGAGGAGAGTATGGACCCCATGCCCTTTTAGAGGTTTAAGTCATCTACAGAGCACAGGGCCACCCAGACAGGGAAATAGGTAAATCTATTCTCATAAAAAGTCGGCGACCAAATCTTAATATACAGGGCTCATTATGGCCGACTATGCGAACGTGATATTTGCCTTTATGTGGGATGCGTGCTAGCTTACAATCGTTTGCACGTATGATACCTGACGCGTGATGTGCGATGCCTTTTTAACTGACATCATTTGCATGTGTAATTGAGGCGCTGCGTGATGCCTGTTTATTTCAACTCGCTTGCATGTTTGAATGAAGCGTGATGCATCATACCTACTTGCTTGAATTCGTTTAATGTACACGTATTTTCGCGCATTGTAATTCTCAGCTAGGTACTTAATTGTGGTAACGGATGGCAATCGCTCTTTGTTCAATCCCCTGAATGTTGGTGTCCTGTAGAAACTGTGGATTGCTCTAAAAAAAACCCTGAAAAATCTAGTAGGATCATCAGCAGAAATTTTGAATTCACTTCCGCTATTGTTTTAATAAACGCATACTGCCGAAATATCAACCCAACTACATCTCCATTCTCCTGGCTTTTCTCTGAGGAACAAGGCTAATACTACTGTCTTATTTATGTGTTTTAGCCCCAAGACAGTTTGCTCTCAAGAATAAACACTGGAAAGAATATAACAAATGTTCTCTGTAACATGAGATGAAGGCAAGCTGTTTCTGAAACTTTGACAGCAGGGTTTCAGCCGGTATCTTTCTACCATGTCGCACATCTTTCCTTTCAACGCACTCAGTGCTCAGGTCCGTTGACGCTCATTAGCACATGTTTGACCCACCTACCGTTCACCAACGACAACGACGCGCTCAGACGCCGGGCCCCGATCCCGCACTAAAAAAACCACGACAGCGTCCATAAATGGGCCAGGGAGAAGCAAGAGAACAAAGAACATCTTGTATATGTCGCGATTCAATGTTTCTGGATCGCACGCGGAAAACGAAATGTGACAATAAAAATTTATATGAAAGTGCATGATGTCACACTAACATATACCCCAAAATATGGGGTAAAATGATCATATATTGGTGAAAAATATTATTAATCCTTATCAAATCCTTATTAAATTTCCATTTGAAGCTATCAAAAATGGAGATTGTATAGAAGGTATGATGGTGACGTCAAACACCATCCCAAACACTTGCTTGGGCACACAGAAATCCATGGCTACATAAGCTTTCAGCTCTTGGGGAGGATTTAGCATTGGAGAGAAGATCTATAATCCACCACGAATTCCAAGCTGAATGCACTCTGCAAATGCATAAAAGGGGCAATAAATAAAAACATGGAATTTCTATCAATCTACAGTGTGTAGTCACAGAATTATGATGAGTCAAAAGTTAAAGCGGGGTTTTTTGTTCTCTGTTCAGCAGCACTTCTGGTTTGGTTTTCAGAGGACAAATTTTCTATAGTGGAGTACAAAATTATCCTAGTGCTGCAGGTCATTACAGCTTTATTTAGATTATCTTTGAGAGATAACAGCACATTAGGTGGTACTCAACAAAAGTGCTACTTTTCATGCACAGCAATTCATGTAAAAGCACTTAAAATGAGAGGAAATGTCAGGATCAAGAATGGTAAGCCGAAACAACAGTGTCATACTCTGTACTATGAAACAGTTGCATATACATGGCTTTGGAAGTTATCAAAAGGCTCTGTGCATGCACCCTCCAAAACGGAGGGTAATCACGCATCAGGCTTATACACTCTCCAAAATGACTGGTGGCTACACACCGGGCTTATACACCCTCCAAAATGGAGGGTAGGTATGATACGCACAGCCAGAGAAAAATGGTACAAAAAATGTAACTGAACATGCCACAGACAGCCGCCTACTCATGCTCCACCACGATCCCGCTACTCACGCTTCATCACGGTCACGCTTCTCATGCTCCACCAGCTAACTGGTTTTAAAAACAGCTTAACATTTATATCCTCCACCTTCCAACTCCCCGTCAACACGCGAGACCCTGCACGCCCCACCCAAACAATAGACAGGCAGCACTCTTAACTGATTTACCGAGCCAGCGCAAGTACAATGTCTGACAGACCCGTGAAGGCCGGCCAAAAGGGATTGAAGTCAGTCACTCCGCTGACTCCGGCGGATAATGCAAGGTTTTAATGGATCTTGATGGGCTTTAACCAACATCATTGTGAATATGATAATTTATGTTGCAATTCAGTGATGTTTTTGTCCTAATAAACTCTTCTCCTTAATTTGCCAGGCCAAAGTCATGGGTCCATGTTACTCTGGTGTCCTGGTGTTTTTGCCAGAGTGAGATGGCTGTCTCCAAACAGTTTTGTGGCTATTTATAGCAACGTTTTTTTGACTTGAAAGGGTACTTTTGTAACGCCTGAATTACCAGCTTTAGTTCCACACCCTCCAGTGACAAATCTGACTTGGTTTCAATCCACAGCTGCCACAAAATTGTACACCGGATACCATGAAGTAGCCAAAAGTCCAACCACATGGCAGTTCTGGAGTACAAGTAAGTCCTTCATAATTGTGATGCCCATCTCTATGCAGCTTCTCTCCAAACATTTATAAATCTGCTCAAGGCATGAGCGCCAGCAGAATATTTACGTTCTCAACAGATCAGTCACCAGGAGGCGAATAAGTAACACAAATTGGAGTTTTGCTATGTTTAACCTCCAAACTGAGCTGGGAGGCAGGCGCAAGCCACTGAATAGCTGAGACGCTTCCCACGCTGAATTGCGAGTGATTCTCTTAGTTGCACTGTCATGACACAGTGGTGGCACATGAGTAAGTGGCCATCTGTGGTAGGTGATTGGGCGTGCAGGTTTCTATGACTGTCTGTAGCATCCTTGGCAACTAATGCGGTTTGTTGTCAATGGTAGGTTAAGTCATGTTTAAGTTTGAGTTGGTCTGCATAGGGAGTAGGAAGTAAGAGCCTTGCTAGTCTACAGACCAGTGTGATTCTGGTGTTCGTTTCCCATTTCCCGATATTGTGCAAAGGCGATTCCATTCAACATTCACACACTTCATTTTTCACATTTCCATACATGGTTTATCATATACCTAGGTGGCAACACAGGCTGCTTGCTATTGGACATCTTAGTTTGGTGTGTGCAATATTTGTGCTCTTGCAGATATCAATACATGGCTCCTGATGCAACCAGCAAGTCTCAAGCTGTTGCACCTTCTGCTATTATTTTGTCCTGACACAAAGATGCAAAATGAGTTTTTCCAAAAGCTGTTTTTGATGCATCATGATGAATCAAGCATTCCAACACTGCAGGGGCTCTGTTGTCAAAGACTGCTTTCCCTGTGTGCCAGTTAGGTAGCCTTCCGAAGGTTTTTTGGAGGAGACCCATGTGCAGTCGTGGTGGGCAGTGAGAGCACAACTGGTTGAAAGTATAGACAAAAGCAATATACAAATTCAGCTCAGTGCCAAACACTGAGAAAATCATTGTACCAGACTCAATGCCAGTGAGCAGACATGGTGGTGTTAACTTTGTATGGATGGCTTGCCTTATGTGGAGGAAACAATTTCTTCACCCCTGCTGTATTGACCTCCAAGCCCAGACCCCACAAGAGCCTGATGTCCCAGATGGTGCAGGTTTTGTACATAACTTGGTCAGCAGATGCACAGAGAAATCTTTCATCTCAAATAGAAGGTGCAAACCATGTTCTCCCATATTTTGACCATGTTTCTTCTCAAAGTTGGGGGAGGGGCTAGCAGTAGCATCCCATCCAACTGAAAAGAAAACTACACCCCTTGTCCAAAATCAAGCACATCTAGATTAGATCAGTAAAAGCCAAAAGCAGGCATGACATTACCCCATAATCTTTCCTTTATGTGAGAAAGGTTGTAAACTGGATATAACATAGCTGCACTAACTTCTATGCCCCAAATGCTCTTATTTACATTATTATGGCTTGCATGACATTTCAATAATAAATTTGTCATGATGTGCTCTGGGGAATTGTTCTACAGGTGCAGGACATTTTAAGCATTGCTTTCTATCAGCCTTTTCTGTGACTCACACCTTATATTTTATATTTTATTTCAGACACTGATTCACAATCAACTGAAACCTAGTAGACTGCTATCTTGTCAGGGACTGAAATCTGATCATCTAACATATGGCCCATTATTAAGTTAGAGGTGCAAAATAATATTGGGCATGTTGCTAGCTATGAGGCTTTTACACAAGGCTTGCACCCAAACTGCAATATAGTGAGCATGCCGGTACATAACCACAACAAGTAACATAATTGCAAGGCTCATTAAATTATAGCAGGTATCCTTAACTCTACATAGCACACAGCCTGGTGCAGGAAGATGGACATCTGGAGTAGCTTCGACCCACTTGGGGTGCAATCATTCATTAAAATCATATATGAAACAATGATATCTCACCTGGCGATTGGATATGACATTCAAAGCCAGTCGCTGCCGACCGACAAACCGTTATCCCAGACGTTAGATGCCAAGTCCTCCCACAACGCTAACAAAAAATCGAAACTCAAATCTTAAGTGGAAAGCATATAGCATTCATACCACTATGCTGGACGCCAAAGATGTTTAGCATTACTACCGCCTCATCTGACGCAAGCAGAGTCAAACGATCGGCACATTCAGCAAATACACCAGCGCAGTATCGTCCACCGGCAGACCAACGCGGCTAGTTCTACAGGAAACAACATGGCGGACGAAAATCGGGGTAACATTACCAGATGCGAGATGCCAGATCCTTTGGCTAAAGTCTTGGCTTCACAGCCGCGTTCGATCTGTAGTCGGCACACTTGTCAGCTGGAATGCGTGACATCCGCGTACTGACGGAGTGTCCAATATGTGGGCTGACGAGAAAGTTTTTAACTTTACTTTCTTCGAGTCCTTTACCTTTTACTTCAGGCTACACACACTTCTGGCTTACCGCTAGCCATGGCACACTGCCTATAAAGCGGAGTTTGGAACTGTGGCTTCTGTTCTGGTACTGTTATCATCAGTCTTATCCGTACGTTGAGTGCTTCTTCCCAGTTCCAATTCTTTTCAATTTCTTCTCTCAGTGTTTATTGCAACGCTATTAATTTACTGGGAACGCAGCCACACACCAAACGCATCACTGTCACTCACCTTTTTATGGCTCCTCTTGGCATTTCAATTCCCTCCTCATCTAGCTTACGTCGCATTCCAACCAAAATAGAAGGACGCGTGTAAATCGACTCAGCAGTGCATCTACACAGAACAGTTCCTCTGCTTAAATCCACTACGATGTTGATTTACACAGAATGCCACTCCTGTGTAAGTCGACTCAGATCTGAGTTGATCTACACATAAACGCACTGTTGTGTAAATCCACTTGCGAGTAGATCTACACAAGTGTGGCTTCACGAGTAAATCGACTCAGATCTGAGTGGATTTACACAGGAGCGTCATTCTGTGTATATACACTCCGGAGTGGATTTAAGCAGTGAAGGTGTTCTGTGTAGATCCACCCATGACGTGATATACACAGAAGGGCCATTCTGTGTAATTCCACTCGCGAGTGGATTTAAGCAGAGAAGGTGTTCTGTGTAGATGCACTCATGATGGATACACACACCTGTGAATTACATCGTGATGTGATCTGCACAGGAAACAGGGTGTATTCAACGCAGCAAACTGGCGAACTGATCTATGACTTGCCGAATAAGGAAAAGGTGTGATTTCAGCAATCAAACACGCGTACAAAAGCTGAAAATATGCATTTGCCCATGCATAGCTCATTTTTGCATCACTGAAGCCACACATCTGTGTACTTATTCAGAACATGCTGTCCAGAGATACGAATACATGCATGCATACATTTATATATATATATATATATATATATATATATATATATATATATATATATAGTATGCGTGCGTTTGTGCATGTGCGTGTGTATGTACCAGGAAAGGCAGACGCCGAGCTTGTCATATTGCTTACAAGGCACGCCATGCAGCATCGCATGCTTGTCACACGGTGGTTTGCGGTGTGCGGCTTTTATCCAGTCTTGGTAACGGGTGAGGGGTGCGGAGGGCTCCCAAAGAGGCTCCTTGATGGTGAAACGCCCCCACCCCCCTCTCATACACACAAATTCGTCAGCTTTGGCCGATGGATTTCCGCCGGCATGATTTTGTGCGTGTTTTACGTATTTCTAACTTTCTTCACTGGGGCAAGAGGCCATAAAAGGTACTGGAAAGCAATTTGCTGTCTGTATTTTATTGCAGGCAATAATTGAAAGAAGGGAGGTGATGTTAGATGGCATACAAAATAACACACCGGTGAGATTCCTTTTAAAGTGTTGAACTGGTTCTATCCAAAGGGATAGACCTCAGAGCTTTCCCAAGTTTTTGTTCTGAGCTCTGCAAAAGTGCTCATGACCCCGTGCGTGTTGAGTGTGGATGGAAATGGGGTCATCAATTTTTTTTCACCTTGGCTAATCCATGTTCCTCTGGGGATGTTGAACGTTCTGTCAGAATTTATTAGTGATGCAACTTATGTAACAGTGTTCAGGATACGCACTTCAAGTCTTAGAAGCCTAATCCAATGCTGTGACTACATCTCCTCATGCAGTAATGCATCCTCACCCAAAGTTTCTATGTGGCAAGTGTATCCTCGATTTCAGAGGCCAAGGCAGGTCACTTCCGGTGAACCTAGGGTCTTGTAATTAGCATCTGTAATAGTACCGAACATTCAAAACGCGATGGTAAGAAATGCCCGAACCTATCCCTTATATGTTCGAATGAGGCTATTTGAAGTCATCTTTGGAAAAAACAGACTTAATTTAGGTAGCGTTCCCCTGAGCTGGAAAATCGCAATGATTGAGCGTTGAGTAACGCGGTAGGTAAAATAAAGAAACGCATGAAAGACTTTGTTAAGTTCTCACGCAAAACACACAAAAATGGAACCGAAACTGGCAAACCCAAACTTGGGTTGTACCTACGTTCATGTCTATGCAACCTACATCCTGAATACAATTCGGTACCTTAACTGAACCTAGTACTGTGAAGCAACCCAACTGAAGCTACCCGACTGATTCACACGCGGTGCCAATGTGGGTGTGTCTGACACCCAGACCAGTCTTTCGTCTGTAAATTTGAAGTCGCTCAACTTGGGGCTAACTTAAAACCATTGCTTTGTTTTGTGTTAAAGGTGCTGTAGAAGGGAAGTGCAAAGTGCAGCATCAAATTGTTGATGTTAATTATTTTTTATGCTCATTACACTGTCATGAAATTACGATGCCTTAATGCATTCTTTTTCACTGTAATGGTCTAAGATGTTAAAAAACAGAACAGTTTTGCCAGGGTTCTGATATTACGTCCGTGCCAACCTGATATAGATGTCTTTGTTCGCTGAAGCATCGGTCACGGGGTCATAAATCCATCTTTTGTGAATTGATTTTTTCACTCCAGCACGGTATTTTTCCTACGGAATTTTTCACTCCCACCCAAGTTCAAAAGCGATTCTAGCTCCCTGATCTCCTGTGATTGCAGGACCATCTCCCGTGATTGGAGGACACTTCTCCCGGGCGAGGACAGCTACCGTCGGGCGTGTTCCTTTTGCAGGTCCATTTACCAGTGGCGCTCGTCAGCTGACTCGGCTAGGTGTAGCTGACTCAGCTGACTCGGCTCGGCTAGGTGTAGGGGCTCCTCTTCACCACCTTGTGATGCCTTCACGAATAACAAAAAACCGCGGTCGCCCTAAAGGCAGCGTCGCCACAGTCATATAATGAACAAATAAATAAGGTGAGTTTACTTATTGAGAATAATTGCAACCTTGTCAGTGACAATTGTTAGTGCAACCAGATCTAGAGCATTGGGGGTTGCCAAATGTGACAGGCTCATATGCGGTACGTTTCCAGTCAGGATCAACGCTGACCTATCAATAGCACATGGGACGGCGTAAAACTGGTTCATAACGTTTCTGCCTAGTCCGCACAACGCCTCGCTGTATTTTTTTATTCACTCGTGTTTTTTCTTCAGAGAACTGAACAGCAGTGGTGGATGGTGTAAGCGCTGGGTCACACCATCCCCGTACTCGGCTTTAAACCCGTCATCATCATGCACTGCGTGATCACGGCATTCCATCAATTGGACATAACTTCACGCACCGGAGATGCCTTGGCTTTTCCCGGACACCTATGGAGCTCTTAAACTTGTGCTATTGTAGAGAACATGCTCGATATCTATATCTCTTTGCATGTCATGGCGTGAACAACTGGTTTGCCGAGACACACCTTCATGTACATATATGATTATTGCAAGCCCATCCGGATACTCGAAAAGACTGAAAGTGTTTGCGTTGATTGGTTCCAAACTGAATAAGCGTTGTAAAATATCACCGCTCACCAAGCAATCGTTGCTTACGTCCAACTTGTTACATCCCTAGATGTACTTGCACTATCTCCTCACTAGTCCAGAAAACGTTTAGCGATCTTACATCTATCGTGTGCCTCAACTAAGTACCTGAACTGAACTAAGAAGCCTCGTCAAATGCCTTTTGTGCGTTCTTCGTCGACACTTCTACATATGTGAGAACTGACTGGGTAGTTTTTTTATTTGCCCCATGCGAAGAAGACGCAGACAAATGTATGTACAATCATGTTCGTTGCTAGTTTAACCAGTGACCCCTGAGGCGAATGTGGTTTCAGAAATACCAACTTAAGAGCATTGCTTCGGCTACTTATTCAACATGGTGTGCCGCTGTTATATAGCTGCTCAGTGCGGTAAGCATCCTTTTCAGCCATTGGTCATGTTTGTCTTTTGACACTGGTTGTGCTTGCAAACTTTGATTCTAGTCAAGAAAATTGTCGATGGTTGGTAGATTTCGAGGCATCTCAGCACTCAGGGTGTGCCTTTGTTAGTGTGCGGGATTTGTTGGCATGTGGGAAAGTCTTCCTGACAAACCGAGGCACGTCTGGCCAATTGGAGGGCTCCAATACTGTAGGAGATCTGCACAATTGTGACATGTTTGCCACCTCTCATGACATGGATCTGGGATAAGCTCGTACGGCTGCCTGCCCAAAACTGCATGTCGTGTACCTTTTAAGGCTGTGATTACTCCAGAGGTCATTAACCTCAATACTTTAATACCGTGGTGTATTGCGTTACAAGTGCGCGCGCCTGGGCGCGCCTCTGCGGCCGACCGGCCGCCGCGGTCACCGGTCACCGGGACGCCTGTCGACTGGCGCCGGTGAGAGCGCGCGTGTGTCACGCGGGTGGCAGCGAGTGGGAGCGTGACAAATGCCAAGTCCAGGGAGAAATTGGCGTGGGGTGATGGGGAAGAACTGGAAGACTTCTTGCGACGGTTGGATGCCTGTAGGCTGGCGGTGGGGCGACGAGAAGAAAGCGCTGGGAAGGCGCTTCTTGGCCTCGGTTCGCGGATTGCGGTGATGGATGCACTGTCAGAAGAGGACACAAGGGATGTTCGGAGCCTGAAGTCGGCGATGCGTCGGGAGTTCGGTCCGTCCCAGGGCTGGCATCAGGACCGGCTCAGTCAGCGACGCAAGCAGCCCTCTGAGACGCACGTCTACATCTGTCATGGGTATTTCTCATTTGAACGGAAGGACCTACGCTCTTGCCGGGGCCGCATGCGTTAACTCGCCCGGGCACACCCGAATATCCGGGGGTCCTCCACATTGTCTTGGGTACTTCCTATCTGAATGG